AAACAGGGATGGAAATTAGGTCGGGGAGCCGCATTGCCCATTAATATGTTCCGAGATAGTATTACGCCGTAGCAACGCGTTTCAGTGTAGAATGTGGGTCACTGTCTGTGTGAAAATAAAATAATCAGACGTCTAATCTGAGTCACTGTTCGAATAAATAACTCTTGGGCGTTTTATACTTAGTTGGGGCCAGGACAGAACTTGAACTTGAACTGGACGACTATGATACACAGTTTATGTTGAAGTTAAAAGTTCCATCACATAATTGTGCATTGACGGGTTGACTTTAGTTTGTGACATTGCTTGCTGGTCGTGGATTGAATGAGCCTTGGTTACCGGTTAAAATGTTGTTTATTTGGCGTTGGTAATCTTTATTTTGAACTGAGTAACGCCGCAACGTCGCCAGCAGAAATCTCCTGGTATCTCGATGTTGATGGTTGTGGCTCCATAGTAATCGCTGATTTTACTGCGGGTGGATCTTTCGCGATCCCTTCAAGGTTTATAAAACTCAGTTTCCAGGTGATCAACATACATTAAGTTCTCCCAATCGTAGTATTCCATGTGATACACCTAATATGCCAATACTGTTGCTGAACGATTTAAACCGCCGGCGGATAAAAATAACAAAATAAAAATAGTTCTGTAGCCAATGGAAATACCATGTATATTTGCATATCGACCGAGAAAATACCGAAAACATTATTGCATGGGTGATGTCGCGCGCAGTTATCAAACATGCAACATTTTACTTTCTTTATGATGTGCTCTAAGTTAGTTTGTAACTTCAGACATTGTTTTGATAACCACGAGTTGAACTCTGAGAGACTAGATCGGTTTATTACGGTGGCCCATATATACAATCGGCGAAGAATGACCAAATTTTGGCGACCAATAACGCATTGCGACGATCAATAACCAATTACGACGATCAATAACGTATTGCGGCGATCAATAGCCAAATTACGGCGATCAATAACGCACTGCGGCGATCAATGACGCATCGCGGTGACCAATGACGCATTGCGACGACCAATGACGCATTGCGACGACCAATAACGCATTGCGACGACCAATGACGCATTGCGACGACCAATGACCAACTTCAGCGATTTATTTTAAAGGATGGACCTACAATGCTTTGCACACTTCAATGGCGTCCGCCATGTAATCAACTTCGTTCGTGCACGAACTACAGCTTGTGTAAGTATTCGTTACATAAATAAATCCAAAATGCTAGAATCCATTGCTATGGCAAGCCAAGTATTGCAATATTATTAAAAACATTTTTTTTTAAATCCATATTTTATTCCACAAAACGCGATTTACATTTGTAAAATCCATATTTCATTCCATAAAACGCAATTTATGTTTGTAAATTCTATTTTACATTTCATAAAATATTATTTTATTCTCTAAAATTCGTATTTGATTTCATCAAACGTATTTCTGTTCAACGAATTCCTATTTAATTATTTTAGAAGTAAAATGAATGACACAAAATGACAACTTTTTTTGAAACATATAAATTTGTGTACTGAATGGAATATAAATTGTACACAACAAAATGGTCTGAATAATTAAATAGGAATTCTTTGAACAGAAATAAGTTTGATGAAATCAAATACGTCGCAATGCGTTATTGATCGCTGAAATTGATTATTGATCGTCGCAATGCGTCATTGATCGCCGCAATTTGGTCATTGATCGTCGCAATGCGTTATTGATCGTCGCAATGCGTCATTGATCGCCGCCGTGCGTCATTGATTGCCGCAATTTGGTTATTGATCATCGCAATGCGTCATTGATTGCCGCAATTTGGTTATTGATCGCCGCATTGCGTTATTGATCGCCGAAATTTGGTCATTCTTCGCCGATTGTATATATGGGCCACCGTAGGGCCACTGTAGGGAAAGTATGATTACATTCAGTACACAAATTTATATGTTTAAAAAAAAGGTTGTAATTTTGTGTCATTCATTTTACTTCTGACACAATTGTAGGAGCCCTAAGTTTGTTACGGTTTATGAATCAAAACAGAAAATTGTCGAACGAAAAAAACAAACAGAATTCTGCATGTAAAAAATATATTTCACGAATGAAATTCTTTTTGATTCAGAAGTGAAACATATATTTACCCTAAACACAATTCGGTGTAAATCGCGTTTTGTGGAATAAAATATGGATTTAAAAAAAAAAAAAATGTTTTTAATAATATTGCAACACTTGGCTTGCCATAGCAATGGATTCTAGCATTTTGGATTTATTTATATAACGAATACTTACACAAGATGTAGTTCGTGGACGAACGGAGTTAACTCCATGGCGGACGCCATTGAAGTGTGCAAAGCATTGTGGGTCCATGCTTTAAACTAAATCGTTGAAGTTGGTCATTGGTCGTCGCAATGCGATATTGATGGTCGCAATGCGTTATTGATGGTCGCAATGCGTTATTGATCGCTGAAATTTTTTATTGATCGTCGCAATGCGTTATTGATCGTCGCAATGCGTTACTGATTGTCGCAAGCGTTATTGATCGCCGACGTGCGTTATTGAAGGTCGTAATTGGTTATTGATCGTCGCAATGCGTTATTGATCGCCGAAATTTGGTCATTCTTCGCCGATTGTATATATGGGCCACCGTAGTATGATATTGTCGTACAGTGCGTTGTATAATTTTTGGGTCGAAGTGACGCATAGTGTATAACTTCGGGGGTCGAAGTCACTCGGGGCACGGGGTCAAGGTGTCTGTCTAACTTGGGGTCGAGGTGTCTAGAGTCGAACAGGATAGGGGTCGAGGTGACTTGATTTCGTCAATGCCATCACCCATTCGTGCATGCCGACCAAACCGTTTTTGCTTGCAATCAGGACATACATCCAGGTCGCCTTGACTAAAAGTGACATCAGTAGTTGAACCACAATCATTACATCTAGTCTTGCTCATATTTGGAGTATATGTCCAACAACATAACAAATATCGTACAAAATATAAATTCTTATGACGAGCATGTGAACAAACACAGGCAGTACCATGAAGCGCCTTCTCTAACCACACATAATTTTTTTAATGCAAATACATTTATATTTAATGCACTGCACATATCATTAAAAAGCACAGTCACGCCGTTTTTAATATGCATACATCATTTTAAAACACACACACCACAGCCTCCAGTACATGTATAGTCAACACCACTAAGACTAAGACCATGACATTTTCTAAAATCCAGCAGAGATCTGATGATCCATTTTTTACTTATGGTGACATGACACTAAACCATACCAAGACATTCACATACTTGGGTGTGACATTAAGCAGCAATGGCTCCCTAAACAAAACTATGGAGAGACTCTCAGATAAGGCTAGAAAAGCAGAACGACTGACGGATAGGATATATAATAACAATTTCAACAACTTTAAACCTAAGACCCAACTTTTTGAAATGTTACAACTACCTGTTTTACTATATGCATCTGAGTTATGGGGTATATTGGTTGGGACAGAAAAGTGGGACACCACTGTTACTGAAAAAATTCACCTAAAATATTGTAGGCACATTTTGAATATTAATAATAGATGTAGTACAATAGGCTGTAGGCATGAAACTGGCAGGCTACCTTTAATTTCAAAGATTCAAATTGAAGCTGTCATGTACTACCAAAACATTAAAAACAATGGTCCAATTAATTTTACTTTCCATGCAGTTAAAGAACTTGAAAACAACTGTTATAAAGGATCATGGTTGGAAGACATTAACAAAATTAAAGACCTGTATAATATTGATCTCCTGACTGTTTCTAGTAAGGTACTCTACCAGAAAACTAAAAAAACATTATACTAACATGTGGATTAATAATATCAAGAGACTAGATGCCAAACTCAGATCTTACAGTCTACTTAAAAGTGATATTAGTCAAGCTAAATACCTACAACTGTTAAGTAATAGACAATACATTAAATTACTGTCCTAATTGAGACTTAGATGTCACAAACTAAAAATAGAAGTAGGCAGACATAAGAGACCTAAAATCCCATTAGAGAACAGGATTTGTGATAAGTGTAGGAGTGACAGTATTGAAGACGAAGTTCATTTTATTACAGACTGTAGCTATTACACTGATGAAAGGGATATTATGTACACTGAATTTACCAAGGAAATCCCCACTTTCCAGTCTGAAAACAATATCAATAAGTTTACTATCATTATTAATAATAACAATTCTAAACTAATTAGACATGTGACACGGTATCTAAAAGTGTGTTTTGAAAAACACAAACTACATTAATTTTTCACTACCTAATTTTATGTTATTTTAACGTTTTTTTTTTTTTTTTTTTTTTATTTACCTTTTTACTTAACCTTTCATTACTTTCAGCCAAAAATTAATTTGTAATTTCATTACGGTGTAATAAAACTGTATTATTATTATTATGTATACACAAACTACTCCTAATAAATTTACATTCCGCGCCTTGTGCGCCATCAACGGTGGTTATGTGTAGAGTACGGCAGGTATGAAAACATGACACTTATCTGTGATGTCGAAAATAAGGCGATCTGAGAGCGGAGCTCAGGTGAGTCAGTATGGACAGGGTTATGTATGTACAATAGCACACCCGTATACGAATTGCAAAATGACGTTGCTATTCTTGGACTACAAGTGTAGTCAAATAATGCGATTAATCTACCGATATTTACTATATCATGGGGACGGCCATCTTGAATACTGCTTGAAACATAAACGTACAGTCGACAATTGCAATTTTGAAACAAAACTTTTCTCAGATAAATTAATTCCGGAAAACATCACATTATTTTTTGTAAAAGAGTTATGGATATGCACAGGAAAGCATCGGCACGGTTCTAGAAGCCGTACCTACACACGAATTGGTGACGTCACAAAATACATGACCTTCAATCGGGGTCGTTTCCTCGGTACATGTATATACGAATTGGTATATACAAATTACAATAAAGATACTTAAGACATTACACATAAGGTAAAACAAATCACGTGACAATATAATGATAATAACGGTAATAAATCCTAGCTTAACAGTTGAACAGAACGATCATATAGTCAGTCGGGTCACGCTGAGGGTCACGCACTTTGTTGCAAAATGGCCTTGTGGTTGAAACTGGGTCATGGCGTGACGGGTGAGGAAGACATTATTAAACACTCACAAAATCACAATAAAACGGGG